GGGACGGTGGGGAGGCCGGGGGGGGGGGGGGGGGGGGGGGGGGGGGGGGGAGGAACATGCAGGGGAGGGACTTTAAGGGAAGGGGCCAGCCCTCCTCAGGCAAACTCACTACCATCCCAGGTCCCCAGCCTGGGCTTCTGAGAGAAGGAGCAGGTGTCACACCCCTGGGTCCCTATGCCCACAGCACTCCTAGTCCTCGCCGCCCCTCCTCCCCACGATCCCCCACCCGGCCCTCACCCGTGGATCTTCTGCTGCGCAGCCTTACTCTCCAGCACCAGCTTCTGGTTGGTCAGCTCCAGGTCTCGGGCTGTCAGGTCCAGCTGCTCGTACACCTTGGCGTGCTGCTCATTCACGTGCCGCAGTGTGTCCAGCTGTTTGGTCAGGTACTGGGGGTCGGCAGGGGGTGGTGGGTGAGTGACCTTTCAGAACAGGGTTCGGGAGAACGTCTCTGCCTGGGCTCTCCTCCCACTTCTAGGAACAGGTGTGCTTTGGGGGGTGGAGACAGTGCAAAGGGCTGCCCGGATGCTGCGCAGGGCGGGCCTCACCTCGATCTCCTGCACCTGCTCCTCGTTGGTGGCGTACATGTGCTGCAGCGACGCCTCCAGCTCCTTGTTCCTCTCCAGCAGCGTCTTCCCCAGCTCAGCGGCCAAGTGCAAGTCTGGAGGGAGGGGCGGAGGGTGGGAGAAGGGATGAGCAGTGTGAGAAAGAAGCCAGAGGAGCCCCATTCATGTTCTGAGCATTCATTCTGAGCGGGGCCTCGGGGACCCCAAGGCGACCAGGACACAGGGGCTGACTCGGGGAGCCCCCACTTGGGAGGGGATGCAGGCCAGGAGCGAAGCCTTTGCACTGGCTGTTGCTTCTGCCTGGAATGTCCTCGCCCCACACCCCCCAGGGCTCATCCCTGTCTGCCTTCAAGTCTGTGCTTCAATGTCACCTTCTCCAGGGGACTTTTCCCAACTATTGATTTTAAAGGGCACCCTCCCCTTTCCCGCACTCCCTCCCCACTTAGCTTTTTCTCCTTAGCACAGATCACCACCTAACGCACCAAACAGCTTGCTCACTTACCTTGTTCGCTCTCCTGACTATCAGCTCACAGGGCAGGGGTTTTGCCTGTTCCTTCTCTGATAGCCCCAGGACCTAGATCAGTACCTGGCACCGAGCAGGTGTATTAGTCTTGCTTGAAAGAGCAAGTGGAGAGTGTGATGAGACCCAGGGGCAAAGTGACTTGGACGATAATAAGGGAGAGCTCGTCTGGGGCCTGCGGGCGGCTGGCAATGGGCAGCCTTGGAGTTGGGCTGGGAGGGGACTGGGAGCCCACTGATGGGCTGCCCGCTGTGGCGGGGCAGAGGGGCTCGCTGCGTTTTAGAGTTTGGTTGAGGCTTCAGAGCTCTTTGGGGTAACATCCTTTTTCTATGGATGACAGGCCAGAGAGGGAAGAAGGACTTGCCCAAGGTCCCCAGCTGGGTTGCAGCCGCGCTGAAAGCAGAACTCAGGTCTCCTGGTCCCAGTCGGTAGCATGTGGTCCTAGTGGTGCGAGCCCCTCTCTGAAACCTCCTTTCCCTGGGAAACAAGCCGCCCCGTTCCCCCCACAGCGCTGATCCTTGTGTCTGCAGGACTGGAACCTCCCCTCCCCATCCCAGCCCGAGGTACATGAACACCTGTCAGAGCTGGGAGGGGACCTGGCCTGGCTTTAGGGGGCTGAGTGGTGGGGAAGGGGAGGGGCCTATTTGACCTGTTCTGCCAAAATGCCATCCAGGAAAGCTGGATCCTTGTCCCACGATGAGGCCCTCGGTCCCAGTGGTCGGCAAACTGCGGCTTGCGAGCCACATGCGGCTCTTTGGCCCCTTGAGTGTGGCTCTTCCACAAAATAACACGTGCGGGCACGCATGTACAGTGCGATTGAAACTTCGCGGCCCATGTGCAGAAGTCGGTATTTTGTGGAAGAGCCACACTCAAGGGGCCAAAGAGCCGCATGTGGCTCGCGAGCTGCAGTTTGTCGACCACTGGTCTAGGCCAATGGTATAAATCCCAACCAGAGGCGTGAAGGCAGCTCTGACAGGGCCGAAGGGATTTGGTACAGGGATCGAGCTGGGTACTCTCCAGACAGTGGTGGTTCTAGGACCCCTAGAGCAGCGGTAACTGGTCTAGGCCAATGATATAAATCCCAACCAGAGGCGTGAAGGCGGCTCTGACAGGGCCAAAGGGATTTGGTCCCGGGATCGAGCTGGGTACTTTCCAGACAGTGGTGGTTCTAGGACCCCTAGAGC